TTGTCAGATTTTTCTAAAATGTCTTTGTGCTGGTTGTGGATGTTGTGGACATTGGGCAGCTTTTGGTGGTGAGTGGTGACAAAGAATCATCATCATCATCATCATCATCATCATCATCATCATCATCATCATCATCATCATCATCATCATCATCATCATCATCATCATCATCATCATCATGGAATTAAAATGGCAAATCCTTTCCCCAAGCCATATGTAGCTTGTTAGCTATTATAATCGCTGCATATTGAAGAGATCAAAATTGTAGCCTATGTATCAAACTATACAGGCTATTATAAAGAACGTTTAAAAAAAAAATGAAATCTGTGATTTTGACAGGCTAAGCGGGTGTTTAAGACAATCTTAATTGCTTGTTCATTTTCGTCTGACCGCGGTTAAAACAAGGTAAAAATGGTCGCTTTTAAGCACAGGCAATCCCGAAAAATGCTGTTTTGAGAAAATCGAAGGCAAAGATTCTGATCCTTCTTCAGTTTCTTTACAAAACAACTAGATTTTTCTCCATCACTAAACAAATACACCGCAATGAAACCAAACTTCTTCTACAGGTAGGGCAGCACCTACTTTAGGTGTAGGTCAAGGACATTAAAAGTAAAGCTCCTTGGTGTAGGTCAAAATTTCTGGAAACCCCCGTAATCTGCGTTAGCCCGCTTGTCCTTTAAAGAGGAGAAATGAAATGCTCTGTTTAATCTCAGGTCTTTGTACGCGGGTATTGCAGGCTTCACTTCCCACCGCCACTGGATGGATGACCAACAAACTCTAAAAGCCCATCCATAAAAGTCACTGCAAATTAAGGTTCCGATAGGGTTTCTTTGATGTTTGCCAAAAGCGGGTCAACATATTAGGGATAATTTAAACGATACACCAGAAACATTATAAAGTTGACATAGTATTATCCTCAACATACATCTTAACGTACGCAGTACTCCAAAGAAACACGATTCAAGAGCGGGGTGAGTACTTTTCGAGACTCACGTGAAGACTTCTGGACAGTCGTTGGAAGAAAACGACAAGCAGCTTACACTTTATATGTTGAGATCAAGGGTTCTGCTTCTGTCTCAAAATGAGCAGTTTATGGGCTATAGTTTACAGTAAATAAGGTTGTTGTTTTTTTAGTGATATTGTGTATGCACCCAAAGAGCGGTTTTTGGGCCTAAGAGATACTTTTTTTAAAAACATTACTGGATCAGGATTTTTGGAAAAGAATATTTATTTGTCGCTGGCTTCCAGAGGAGCCATGCAAAATTTTGTGGGCATAGATGCTATACACACATGCAAAAATTATAATGAGTGGGAGGCTGGAGGATAAGTAACTGATGGAACCTTCTTTTCTTTAGACATTGTTGTATTAATATTAGCCCTTCTCCCCACCCCTAATTTTGCTGATGGATGGAGGACAGGACTTCTCACGAGTCCTATTTCTTTTAACTCAAATTACCCCCCCCCCCCCACCCACGCCGCACTCTTTACGGCCTAATTATTATCACCTAATTCATCATGACCAACAAAGCCTCCAAAATCACACTACCGAACTCAACAACACCTGTGAGAAATTCAACATGAAAATAAGCACATCAAAAACAGAAGTTATGAAAGTGAGCCGAAACCATA